GGGTCTCGCTCTTGCTCAGGCTGGTCTCAAACTCCTGAGCTCAGGCAATCCACCCACCTCAGCTTCCCAAGTGCTGGGACTACAGGTGTGAGCCACTGCATCTGGCCTTTCACTATAATTTTTAAATTTAAAATAAAAAGGAGTAAATTCTAAAGAATTGACTGAAAAGGTGATAAATCGTCAATTATCAGTAATTAACCTCTGTATAGCACTTTACAGCTTAAGAGCTATACCCCACATTATTACTATAATGTTTTAGAGAGAATTAACAAATCATCGTACAAGGATTGATCTATTTTCCTGGGTTTTCTTAGCATATATGAAAATAATTATCTCATGAAAATTAAAATTTCAAAACAGCTAACAGAACTTGGAAAATTAAATCTTGTTACTAGAACAGTTTTAACTTTGAGAATCTAATGAGAAACATAAATATTAAAACCTTGACATATAACTCTTAAAGCATAAAATACAGACTACTTACTGCCATTGTTTGCCTTGTGAGCTTAACCAACACTGTAACTAGGGATCCTACTGTGATGTTGTTGCTATCTTCATCATCCAACACTATAAGATGGAAGGGAAAAAATAGAGTGAAAAATAAAAATCAAATTCTACATCAATGCAAACAGCAAAACTTAGCTTACCCAAATCAATTTGGCACTTCAGTATTTTGAGCATATTATGGTTTAATTTTTTTTTTTTTTTTGAGACAGAGTCTCACTTTGTCACCCTGGGTAGAGTGCCATGGCGTCATAGCTCACAGTAACCTCACACTCTGGGGCTCAAGTGATCCTCCTGCTTCAGTCTCCTGAGTAGCTGGAACTCTATGTACCCACCATTAACAACTATTTTTTTTTTTAGAGACAGGGTCTCGGCTCTTGCTCAGGCTTGTGAGCTTGTGAGCTCAAGAAATCTACCAGCCTCAGCCTCCTGGAGTATTTAAAATTATTTTAGACTAATTTAATGACAATTCAATATAAGGCTGTCCAGCAGATGCCTTCAACAACTGATTCATTAAATCCTTAAAATAATTCTACAAAGTCTTATAATTATTTCCACTTTAAAGAAGAAACTAAAGTTCAGAAATAAGGTAAAATGCCCAAATTCACAAAACAGCTGCATTATCAGGCCAAATTTTAAAGCTAAGTCTTTGAAAACACAGGATAATGTGAGGACTACCACAATGCAGCTTTTTCTCATAGAAATATATAAATAGGGTTCTGCAATTCTAATTGTTCAAAGCTTTCATATTCACAAGATTTTATTTGTATAATCAATGCCTGTCAAAATAAAATAATGAAAA